CACTTTGGTTCTTCCAAGAATTAAATATATACTTGCATATATGTGTACATAAGGTATGTACATATATGTATATTCAAACATATGTAATGTGTAACCCCACATAAATTATCTATGTCATAGAAAACCTCACTGACTTATTGACCTCATTAACATTTCACACTTAATTGCGCGACGTGCTTAGCATCGTTATCCATAATCCGCGTTTATTCCAATTACGAGTAGAAACGAACGCACACCGACTACCGAACGCACCCTTAAATTATTTGCCTGAATCATACTCATTAATCCAAAGCCAGTTGGGAGAAAATTTGATCCGAGACTTAAGTGATGACTTACGTGTTGAAAGATGAAGATAAAGAGGAGGATAAAGATAAACGTAAAGATAAGGATAGAGATAGWGATAAAGGCGAAGATATAGATAAGGATAAGAATAAAGATAAAAATAAATTTCAAAATAAAAACTAATATAAAAATAAAGTTAAAGGCAGTGATAATTATAAAGAGTTAGAGATGGAGATAGTGATAGAGATAGAAATAGACATAGAGACAGAGACAGAGACAGAGACAGAGACAGAAACAGAAACAGAGGTAGAGATAGAGGTAAGAGGTAGAGGTAGCGGTAGAGCAAGAGGTAGAGATAAAATTAGAGGTGAAGGTAGAGGTAGAGGTAGAGCCAGATGCATAGGTAGAGTTAGAGATAGAGGCAGAGGTATAGTTATTGGTARAAGTAGAAGTAGAAGTAAAGATAGCGGCGAAACTGGCAAATCTGGAATTCAAATGTCTTTCGAAAAAATTACAGAATTTTCATTATTATTCTTAARTATTGAAATTCTAACGTCTAACAACACACTTAGCTTCGTTTTCATTCTATGTGTCAATCAGTAAGCAAAACAAATGACATCGTAAGCCCAAACAGTAAGCTTCGTATTTCGGGTAAACAGACAGCAAATTTTTCAAAAACAATTTTCAATATTTTCAAAAATTATTTTTCAAAAASAATTTTCAATATTTTCAAGAAATATTTTTCWAAAAGAATTTTCAATACTTTCAAAAATACTTTTATACAGCGCGCGAGGTTTTGGAAAATCTTTGTTCTGCAAAAGGAGTTGGGAGCATATTCTATGGAAAATGACACAAGAACTTCCCACAACAACGATACGTATAGCGCGTAACCACGACCGRCACAAAAACAATTTCAATTCGAACTCCGTTAAATATAATAACAAAAACGAAAGTTCGCATGATACACAAACCAGCCGTTTAGAGGCTGGCCTACAGAGAGAACCCTACGGCAGGCCCACTTTTGGACGACAATTGCTCAACATCRTTGCTTCAGATAATGGTGTCGATTTCTCATGGAGAGCGTTGTTGAATAGCATTAAGATACTTAGCCTCATACTACTCTGGCTCGTCATTGTTGTAATTATGATTATAACAAAACCACTAGGAGATGAATCGCGACTCTTCACGCTCGAACCGAATCAAACACGTACATATAAGATACCACAAGTACACGTGGCCGAACGCGTTGGTATTGTTATTTGGGGACCCTTCCAGGAAACGGATAGAGCGGCAATAAAAAATGGTGTAATGCCCGATGTGGTCACCATGAATGTAGCGAGTGATGCGGTGGGTAAAGAGAAAATTAGCGTAGATTTGCTGACATACTTGCAAACAGCTGATGCCGAGCAAGTGACAAATATAGAGAAAGTACATGTCTTTCGAAACGCGAAATCAAAGAGTAAGGAGAAACGACCGAATTTGTGGCTCGTCATGACGACAACGAAACAAGTGACCATCAAATTGAGAGTCGACGCGTATACTGCGAACCGTGAGCGGGGCATGTGGGCGGGTGCATTGATTTTGATACTTATGTACGCCATGATTGTGACGGAAATCATTGATCGCACCATAGCGTCGGTGTTGTGTGCCACACTCGCTGTCGCATTGTTGATCAGTCTCGGTGATAATGTGAATTTGGGCATGATTATGTCGTGGGTCGATATTGAGACGATGTTGCTGCTCTTCAGCATGATGCTGCTGATTGCTATGCTCGCCGATTCGGGTATTTTTGATTTCTTCGCCGTTTATGCATATGAAATTTCGAAGGGTTTCGTTTGGCCGCTTTTGACGAGCCTCTGTTTATTTACCGCAATTCTGTCGGCACTTCTGGATAATGTCACAATGATGCTGTTGGTCGCGCCGATCATTATACGTTTGTGTGAGGCTTTGGCGCTCGATCCCGTTTTRATGTTGACCTTGATGGTAATCTATTCGAATATTGGCGCTGCTTGTACGCCCATCGGTGATCCACCGAACATTATTATAACCACGAATGATTAYATACACGACAATGGCATCACATTCGGCAATTTCATGTTGCACTGCGTACCATGTGTCACATTGGTCACACTGCAAACTTACTTTCTCTTACGCTACATATATCGGGATGAGAGTAAATTGCATATACGTGGCGCTCTGAATGACAGTATGCAGCGTTTAGCACGTCGTTCGGAGCGCTTAACGAAGATGGCTTCTGCCGCCGGTGAAGAATTCAGTACCGCAAGTGTTAAGCGTAAATCGGAAAGAGCGTTAATGCAACTGGAGCGTCAATTAAAATATACACCGGAATATCCACGAGTCTTGGCCAATCTGAAGTCCATGTATGGCATTAAAGACAAACCGTTGCTCATTAAACTATCCATTTGCTTTCTCTTCGTACTCACGCTATTTCTATCGCACAGTTTTCATAACTTACATCAGCTGCCGCTTGGTTGGGCTGCTCTTATCGGCGTGCTGTTGGCCTTCTCACTGGTGGACATAACGGATTTTGAAGCACTGCTGCTACGCATCGAATGGTCGACGTTGATRTTTTTCGGTTCGCTCTTCATTCTCATGGAGGTGTTGGCAAAGATCGGTATGATCGGCATAATTGGCGAGGAGGTGCAGGACTGGATAATGTTTGTCGATAAGAAATATCGTTTGTGTCTCGCCATTATGCTAATACTATGGGTTTCGGCTGTCGCTTCGGCCTTTCTCGATAATATACCGGTGACAGCGATGATGTTGCCAATTGTGRTTTCGATGGCACAGGATCGTGAGCTGCAGTTGCCGTTGCATCCTTTAGTTTGGGCGCTCGCATTGGGTGCTTGTTTTGGCGGCAACGGTACACTCGTGGCTGCGTCGGCGAATGTGGTGAGCGCTGGCATTGCGAATCAACATGGTTATCGTTTTTCGTTTTGTTCGTTCTTCGTTTTGGGCTTTCCCATTATGTTGACAAATATTGTTGTTACTTCGTTKTATTTAATTTTCTGTCATGTGGTTTTCGAGTGGCATGATCCGCCGAAGTACGAGTGAATATTTTTACGTAATTATTGTTAATGAATTTGTGTGTGTAAATAAAATATTATTGGTCCGAAATTGCTCATGTTCTCGATAAAATCTCGAATTAAGTTGCTGCTATACAAAGGTTTTCAGTTCCGTAAGCAGTTGCTGCCTTACAGTTCATCAAATAAGGAGAGCATGTTCCAGACTTATTTTTAATTGTTTTTGCTCTGCGATTATGCGGTTACCTTCCTCATAAGGCTTTTAGTTTGCAAATTTTTTTACCTTTCCGGTACTGAGGCGAAAGACCTAGCTACTTAAGACATTGTTACATTTTGCCTTTACAATTTTATAGAGCCCCAAGAGCCGTAGAGCCATTAATATATCAGTAATATCTGTAAAAAGCTGGAGAGCTTCTGCTTCTAGTGACTACTACTACCGCCGGAGAACTTGGGGGTTGGACGGCTACCCTTTATTTATTTTATTTAGAAACGCAGTCATTGGGTCCTACGTATTCCAAATCGCCAGCAACTTGTGGATCTTTGTTCCCAATCCAATGCTTCCGTTACTTGTCCGCCACGTTCTTGGCTTGGAACGACATGGGGTTCGTCTTGCTCTAGACGAAGCAGTAAATTGGCGGAGGCCGCCTTCGCATGTTGGAGGTTAACATGAAGAATATTCATTCTTAAAATTCTGYTCCGGAAAAGCTAGTTCATCGGCACCTCCTCAAACAGTTGTTCGAGGCTAAAGAAGGAATCGCCGATTGACAACCGCCTTCAGTACTCGCAATGTACGAGAGACTCGGGACGTTATCCATTGTCGTTTGACCATCACCATCGCCGTCTGCCTTATCCATCGCATCTGCAATTTGGGCGCCATCAGCTTTGGCATCCGTCGGGAGTACTTTAGGGACGACCCTTTTGAACCCCTAGCTTATGACTYCGATGGTTCTGCGAGAGGAACGTATTTAGCCGTATCAGCGCTTGTCGATATGGCTCCTCGGTTCACTCCAGCCTTCTTGCCATTCAGTCCTGCGTGGGAACCAGTATGACTGRGACCTAAATGATTTTCACCGAGTTTTCCTAATGAGAGTCTAGTATTTGCCTTCTTATACAACCGAATCTACGACGCTGCGGATATTCTTAATTGCCGCTTGACCATCGCCTGGAAGGTCAATGAACTTGCTGTTTATAGCAGAAGCCCACTTGACACCTTCTTGTGTCTGCTGGGTCAAGGTGAGTTTTTGTGATTTAGGAGATGGCGCAATAGACCTAAGCTCGCGGTGCATTCCTCTTTTCATAATCAACCAATCTATCTCCTGAACCACAAACYACATATAGTCTCAAAACTATATTTTCTAACTTCTTCAAATTAGCTCATCTCTTTCAAGCTCGATGTGGACATGAACYAACGGAATGAACTCGCTATGCTTTGAGCAATTCACGGAGTCAAGAGCAATAATCCAAAAGAAAGACAACTTTTACTTCGAAATTTTAAGAATACTTGTATTTTGAGCATCTTGTCTACTTCGAATATATCTGTCTTAAATTACATTTGTAAAAAAAAAAACTTTTTTACAATTTCAAGAAAATATTGCTGTGAATAATTTGTGAGTAGCATCAAACCATCTCATCAAAAAAAAAAAAAAACAAAAAACAAAAAAAACATGGCTGATGATCAGAATCCAGAAACAAATCAACGCAAAACGGCGCTGAGAGAAGAAACAACCGACGAAATTGCCAGTATGGCTGAGGACAATAATCAGGATACAGAAAACAATCAAAACCCGGAGAACAATCAGACGGCCGAAAACAGTAAAAATCCGGAGGAAAATCGAAACATTCAAAATCGAGAAAACAATCAAAACCCAGAAAACAATCCACCCCAACCCGCAGATATACCAATAGTATTTGAAGAAATCGTTAAACCACAAACCATGAAATTAACACCAGTGGAATCAGATGTGTCGCTTACGATAGAACCCTCAGAACCAGCAAGTTTTGTCAACGTAGCGCCACCTGATCACGAAATAATTGAAGTAGAGGGTGAAAGATCAAGGCTGCCGTCGCTAGCGCCTTCCGAGAGAACTATCTCTCGAATTCTACCGTTTTCCTCAGAAAATCAACTGCAGCCGGGCGATATGGAAGCGGCACCGGCACGACGCACAGATAGTATAAAGTCGAAGAGAACTGTGAGTCTGCCGGCAACCACAAGTAATGTAGATAAGATAATTGAAGAGGACATACATTTGACATCAGCACAAATGGCGGTATTGCGACAATTCAAAGGGATGATGAAGGAACCCGAACAAGAAACGGATGCAGAGCTGCATATTGAAGATATTATACAAGTGAAACGTACATGGTTAAAACCAATCGGACTCACTTTAGTTTGGTTGATGTTCACCGTGCAATTTATTATCTACAGAGATTTGCCGCRTAATCCGACATTAGTCTCAATACATCCGGGCGAACGGGTAGTAATTAATGTGCCCGCTATAACGGCCACGGCAATATCTATGTCMATCAAGGGACCCTTCCTCGAAGATGGTGAGCTGATCTATGAGGGTAGGGTAAGCGAAGCGAATTTCGTTTTCATACAAGTGGTGCGTACATTTTACGATGAAAATATGACCGAGATTATAACGGTGAACGTAGCCGATTTGTGGCGCGAATATTTGGATACAAGCATGGAAATTGACATGATCAATCCCAGCGAACGTCTGGCTTTGCTAAATTTATGGAAAAATGTCTCCAAGGATAATTATACACGTATGTTTTTAAATGCGCACACCGATATCAATGAAACAGTAACGATCAAGTATAATTACGATTCGCTACCGGTGCCCACAGAGAAGGGTCTACTTTTTGCGCTACTCGTACTCGTACTACTTTACGGGCTCTTCATTTTCGAAATAACAAATCCAACGGTGTCAACTTTAATATGCTGTACATTCGCTTTAGCCATACTCTCCATATTGAATGCGAAGCCGAGCTTCGATACCATACTGCAATGGATCGATATGCCGATGTTGACATTGCTCTTCAGCATGATGGTCATTGTAGCGATCATATCCGATGCGGGCATGTTCGATTTTATCGCCGTTTACGCGTATCAAATATCGAAGGGCAGCGTTTATCGTTTGATCATGAATTTGTGCTTCTTCATTAGTTTGGTGTCGGCCTTTCTCAATAACAGCACAACGATGTTGCTTTCGTCGCCGATTACGATTAAGTTGTGTGAAGTATCCGGCATGAATCCGGTTTCGGTGCTCATCTATTTGATGATATGTGCGAATGTGGGCGCCGCTTTTACGCCACTCGGCAGTCCGCCGAATATTATTGTCACCACCAATGATTTTTTGCAAGATCACGGCATCACTTTCGGCATATTCGTGCTGAATATGGCACCGTGCACGTTTCTGGTGTTGCTGCAGACATATTTCCAATTGCGTTTCTATACGGAACACTCCAAACTACTCGATTACCATRAATCACAGACCATACAGCAGGAGTTACTCAATCGTGGCATAAAGCGTTGGGAACGCGCTTCCTCAGCGATCGGTAGTTTTTTGGCCGACGATCGTAAGCTGCGTGCTGTTATTAATCGTGCGGTTGACAAGATGCGTCCGGCTGGTAAGGGCAACTATAAAAATCCCAAGCCTGATCCACAWCGTTACGAGCACACACTGGCCGAGTTGAAGAAGAATCACGGCGTTATCGATAAAAACTTGTTGATCAAATGCGCCATTGTCTTGATATTCATCGTGTCGATTTTCATGTTGCGTTCATTTGAGTTTTTCAACGTTATCGGCTTTACTTGGACGGCGCTGCTCGGCGCCATACTGCTGCTCATCTTGGCCGACATCAGTGATTACGAGGGTCTTTTGTGTCGCATCGAATGGTCGACATTGATGTTTCTGTCRTCGTTTTTCGTTTTGATCGAAGTGCTTTCCCGTTTGGGCTTCGAAGATCTGGTCGGTAAAAATATTATCAAAGCTATCGAGAGTACGCCGCACGATTTTCAGCTGCTGGTGGCGCTGTTGCTCATCTTATGGGTTACCGCATTTGCATCGTGTTTTCTCAACAATAATCCGGTTACGCAGATGATGGTGCGCATTGTCGTGTCCATAGCACAGATTAAACCTTTGGCTTTGCCGTTGGGTCCACTCGTGTGGGCGCTGGTGATGGGTGCTGCTTTTGGCGGGAATGGTTCGTTGATTGGCGCTTCGGCGAATATTGTAACGGCCGGTGTGGCGAATAAGCATTTGTACAAGCTGACATTCCGTTCGTATTTTTTAATTGGGTTTTCGGTTATGATCGTTAATATTTGCATTGCTTCGGTGTACTTAACTTTAATGTATGTGGTTATCAAGTGGGATGGCATGATAAATGTTTTTTAAAATAAATTTTAAATAAATTCTTTGTAATTCAAATAAGCATCATAATACGATATACGATTTATGAGAAAATCCAGTTTTAACAACATACATTATTCCTCGTTCATTAAGCCCAAAAACGTCTCACTTTATAGAATCAGTATTTTTGGAACAAAGGTAACCAAAAGAGGAAAGCTTCGTTGTACTTAATCTTTAGCAGTCGAAATGGTAAGCAGTAAGTGGTTCAAGGCCTATATAGCAGYTCTGCTATAGGAGTAGATAAATACCTCTTTAAAAGAAGCTGCAYTTTGTTGAAGTACTACCCTGGGGGCCTATTCTGTAACTCAAATCGAAAAAAAAATTTTGTCGAATTCGGATTTTTTATATTCTGTATCTSGATTTTCGGGTTTTCAAGCTAATTTTCGAATAAAATATTCGTTAGCTTTTGAGTTGTAGAAAGCAAAAACCAAAATTGTACGTGTTTATTCTGGCACAGGGTGGTGCAACTTTCGCATAATTATAAAGAATGCGCCCGGCTTTCAGAAGTCTGATAGCAACCTTCGCAGCAATATATTTACCGGCTATATCGACTATATGTAGAATGGCAATAAGTATTGGCTTTGCTATCACACGTGGTGAACCGCTTATGCCGATTAGATCCGCTCATTGAGCACGTACCACCATAGAAGAGATTCGTAAAGCCTAAGCAAAAGTTGGACCTTCATGGTAGCTTTTTATTAAGGAGGACGCCATGTACCACCTGAGCTTCGTAGGCGCTGGTTATCAATTGTATTATTATATGCAAACATTCAGGCAGTTTCTACTCCTTTGTCCAGACTAAGTTTGAAACAGTTCGACAGTCATATATGCGGCGTACCTGGTAACATAGTCCGATATTAWTCCTGTCAATGCAAATGTGTGATATGCTCAAACCATTTTGTAGATTTTTGAAGGTCTTTTCGAATATTCTTCTTCTTCTTCACCAGCCTAAAGAACCGCTTAGCGCTTACTACCGGAGTGATTGCCAGGACGACTGAGTCTTTTTCCCACAACGAATCCCACACCGAATTTGCGCTACTATAATAAATGTCACAACGATCTAAATGTTTCCGYCTTTGTCCCAWYCATAGCATTTCTTGGACRACRRTGATGAYAGCCTTTACTTTTACGAGGTCASCAGCGGCACTTTCCAATTTTAGGGACCAGGTGCATGCCATTATATCATAGTCCTTATAATGTTTGCTGTGGTCGTTATCAAAAGTSGGGTCTTTCATCCAATCCAGAGGCCTCGACGTGGTGAGTCTCAAACTCAGCGCACAACAACACTATGCGAGGTTAGTTACTAGTATTACGTTGTCTCAAGCGACCAGCACTTTCAGCTGATTAAATGAGACTCCCTTTTGGATCGACCCTTTTACCTACTCTTGTTGTTGTCATTACAATATTCACATAAACCTTTAGCCTGCTAGTTGGAGTATGCTTGCATGACACACATATTGTCGGTCCAGGCCAATCACTTAGTAGCTTTTTTACAATACTTAAACCGACACGCCTCTTTTGTAAAGCAAATGCTCTTAAAGGTATTTAATTTAGTAATAACATGCAAGTGGAAAACCTTAAGCACAAACGAACATGTGTCTAAATGTCAGATAACGGTACTCAAGTAAACATAAATATGTGTAATAGTATGCATTTTTGTAATTACGGTAATTGCGCCATAAAATGTAGATATTTTAGCAAATTCAAGAAATTAGCTGTGAACATGCACGCTGCAAGTTGGTACAAATTTAAATAATAAAATTAAATTAACAAAATATTTAAGCGCTGGCACGCAAATGCAAGGATAGTTCGAAAGGTGTTCCCAGTAGGAAGTGTAATGATGGCGGAGAAACTGAATTAAAAAAAAAATAAAAATTTATCACATTTATGTCAGTTCAACAAATAGTTTATTAAATTTAGTCAAAATCACCACTGTTAGCCAAAAATGTTAGAAATATTTAAAAAGTATATAATAAAATATTTTTTTCCTTGGTAAACTCTTGAAAATTTGACCGTCAATATATTTAATCTTTCAATTTTTCAATTCAAATCTTTGAAATTCTGTTTTCCTTGTCACAATTAATTTCAGCTGACTGCCGGTCCGTTGAGTTTTTCTCTTTACAATATGTTTTATCTCCAAAATTATTACACTAATTCCTTTCAGGTTTCTAAAAAATTTTAATTTCAATAAAATGTTCTATAAAATACCTATCAATATAAAGCAAAAAAATATTCTAAATAAAAAAATAAAAACATCCATACAACAATGACAGTCAATTAGAACCAATAACTTTCCTACAGAGTCATCTAGAAAAGTTTCTGTTAAGCCTTTAACTCTTACAATTTGCATATACAAATTTGTATTCGATTGCGCTTAAAGCACAGATGCGGAAGATACATTGAGAGCACTCGTTCGATCAATAASAATAACACTTTAAGTGGGAAATTCAATTATTGTTTGCTCAATTGGAGATTAATGAGTGTTGGTATAAATATAAATAACAGATAGTGTTGCCTACATTTCGGCGCGCTGATAGTCCGTGCTTGATTTTGATTCTTCTAATTTATRAAGTAAGACATGATGCCATACTCTAYTGAATGTCTAAWATATATCAAGACAAACTGTGWATGCAAATGTGCTTTTCTGCAATCGTTTCTTCTTTCAGAGTTTTATACCATAATGATTTCAGATAMCTTCCATCCCAAGATATCAGATACYTTCATACCTAGTCGGAACCAGGAGCCTTTTCCGACTTCAATAGASKTCTGATGCTATTTTTCACWTCTTTATTTGTTGTTGGTTGTATTTCAGCTGCATATTGCAGTAAATTACAACACAAAAGGAGTTAGTTTCTCTGAAAAAAATTCCGGTTTATCTTTGTCGCTTTTGACATAGGTTCCGTTTGAATTTCTGAGGCGTGTATTCGAAAATATTGACTTCCTAATATTTTCTACAGCTTTCCAAAAGGCATAATCTGTATTTATTGATTTCCAATAAATTTTCTATGGTAATGAAGGTGTTGGATATTTGCCGTGTGATAAAAAAGCCGATCAAGTCAGATAATTTTCTTGTGTAGAAAGGCAATTCGGCTTGCCAGCAGACATAAAGTCATTTCCAGGAGCTATGGCCGCTTTAAGGAGCTCTCTCCCCTTCTGTTGAAGAAATCCTCAGTCGGGAATCACTGTATATTGGAAGTTTATGGTCCACCTGTTCTGGACTAATGAATGTGCAAAAAGTAGCTTATGTTGAAAGAAGATGAACATCTTGGGCGGCTAAACAAAGATTGAATATGAGGAACTGAAGGCATTACTCGATGAGGATTGTTTCCTCATACAAGGGATGATTTCAAAATTGTTGGAACTTACTCAAGCAGTTAACGTTTGTTAGAAAGTTTTGACGATTTTTTTGTTAATCTTAATTTTTTTACTTAATACTCATTCAAAATATTTGTAATTTTGGTTTGTTTTGGTTTGTTCATTTTTACCTCCGTTTTTTTTTTTTTTTTTTTTTTTTTTTTTTTTTTTTTTTTTTTTTTTTTTTTTTTTTTTTTTTTTTTTTTTTTTTTTTTTTGTTCCCTGCAATTGTGAATGCAAGAAAGTGATGAACTGCCAATGCCTTTAGTTCTATATACAAGGTATGATAGCTTATGACAAGCCAACATACTTAAGTTGCCTCAGTCGTCCCATACAAAATAAACGAATAGCTTAATTTGCTGGTCAAATATATCACGCCTAGTATAGCTCAAGCTTAGTCTCTTCTGATTACCAGCTTGCCTGGACGCTGCGGAACGCACATTATGGAATACGGCGTCACATCTCAACAGGGTGTGAAAAATTGGCTTGATTAGTACATTGCGGTATTTTGCAGTCCTTTTGGTACGAAGTCCACAAATTTCTAGATGGTAAGGCGTTACAACTTCAGACGGACAATACCTTCATTGTGTTTATAGATCTTCTGATGCACATTTACTTTGCGTAAAAGCACTGTTGCCAATTTTCTTTAATGTATTTATATCAGCTACYTTACAATTTAAAGTATTTAGTGCATTTTTTTAGTACTTTTTCAGAAGAGTATGACATTGTTCCATTTTAATATTTCTGGATTGAGCACTGTTGCCACATTTCTTTTACTATGTTCATTATGTTTATATCGTTCACCCTCTTAATACTTGGCTATTTTTAGATAACGTACAATTTTTAAATAATTCAGCAATTCAGACGGAAAGTTTCAGGCAATACTTTCAATAATACTATTGTATTTAAAGCTCTTCTGAATAAAATTTACATTACAGTGCTTGGCACTGTTGCCAATTTTTTTTAATGTGTTTATATCAACTGCTTTGTAAGTAAATAAATTTAGTGCATTTTTTAGACTTTTACTGGAAAAGTATGGCATTTTTTCATTTTAATATTTTGCGATTGAACACTGTCGTCATATTTCTATTACTACATTTCTTGTGTTYRTATCAATTACCTAAACTAAATAATKCTTTTAAAAAAATTTCAAATTTTGAATAATACAGCCCGAATATAGTTTTAGACGCTATTTTTCTGCTTACTCTTAATATCATTCTTTTCTAAACTACCCAACTTCTAAATTGAAGCATATTCAAAAAATTAAGTAATCAAATATACAAAATCGATTCAACAATCCCACATCTTTTAAGGTAATGAAGCAAAACAAAAAACCAAAAACATTACGTTCAATGCACTATTTCCAATTTCCCATTTGCCCTTAAAACGACACACATACATACAAACTTAAGAGCGCTTTGTCAGCTACAATAAAACTACCGTTATTGTTGGAGTCATATGGGCCAACATTGTCGTGGTTATGGTCATGGTCATATACTTTGATGATGATTACAACGGCAACAGCGATAGCAGTGGCAATACTAAATACCACTTGTATGTGAGAGGGCGCGTGTGTGTGTGGGTGTCAGACGCCAGTTGTTGCTCTTTTATGGCGTTACCTGTTGTTGGCA